TTCATATGTAATCTTTCATCTTTAGATATGACAATATCTTTCAATAGCTCTGCACCATCAAAAGAACATCAAAAGCAACTCAACCATAATCACCAGAAATGTTTTAAAAACAAGAATAAAAAAACTGCCTCAAACTTATCTATTAATGTTTCTGAAGACCTTTAACCCTTACTTAGTACTGAAGTCTCTACGGTTGAAACTCCTGCTATTGATAGTAATTCTGATTTTGTACTATCAGAAGAATGCCAAAAACAACTCAACCATAAATACCAAAAACATTTTAGAGATAATAATAAAGAAACTAACTCACATCTATTTATTGATGTTTCTAAAGAACTTCAATACTTACTTAATACCGAAGTCTCTATAGTTGTAGTTGAAACTCCTGCTATAGATATTGAATCTGATTCTGATAACCTTTTACCTTTACTTACCACTGAAGTTCCTATGATTACTGATCTTAAATTATCTAATACTCTGAATTCTTGCTGTGATAAAACTAAACGTTATGATATAGGTAAAATAGATCAGACTTGTTGACATTATAAAGCTAAATTTTAGATGATTGAAAAGGATCAAAATAGTGGATACGCTGCTTCGAAATTTTTTCTTTGTTGTGCTAGCAACAAAGTACAATTACCACCTTTACTTGAACCCCTACCCTACTTACTAAATCTTTATACTTCAACTAATTTTGATACAGTTAACTTTTATAAACACATTAAAGGTATAACAGTACCTTGGCTTGCACATCTTTTGGTGCTAATGTAGATAACCAATTTTTAGGATATAGTATATTGAATTTTCAGATTCATGGTCAAGTCTATCATCTAATCAGATTGTTATTACTAAATGAAGGTCTTATATCAACATTTGCTCAACTATATATTTATAATACTGCAAATAAAATTACAAACTGTCATAATATAATGCAGGAATTAAATGAAAACATTCTACAGAATTTACAGAATATACTAGATATCTGCAATCTGTATATCCAAAATTTTCATCACGTGAGAGATCTCATATGAGACAATACAACCACTAAAATTTTGATGATAATTCATAGTGATAGAAATCGAGATATTCATTGTTATAATGCTCTAACAGCTTCTGATATAGCTGCAATAATGGTAGGTAATGGTCATAAGGTAAATCCAACAAGTTGTGATATTCTTCTTAGAGCATATGATAGAAATTTGCAGAGAATATCAGAGTTTTATTCTTTATATGTCCCTCTCCACTATATATTATTATTCTCTAAAGGTAATGATAGATAGCATACTGATATACTACTCATAGACGCTTTAAAAAGAAAATGAGTAACAACTATACAATTTTACTTCTATTGATTGCAGATTAGAGATGGTGATTGGATACAGCATGCTGGCCGCTTATATCAATAGTATATTGTTGATCAGTATGCTAAAATAGAACAGAATTGTTTAATTTACCTTAAGCATAATCAAAAATCACTTCGCGTTAAATTTTATTAAAGTATTATAGACATAGTACATACTGGAGATTGTAGTAATGCTATTAGTTATCATCTAATCCTTCTATCATCTTTTATAGACAGACTACGTCAAATGTATTAGTTATATCAGGATGCGATGGTGATTATCGCTTACTTTGGAAATCCAGATCTTTTTGTCACATTTACATATAATCCTAAATGGCCAGAAGTTACTAAAGAATTATTACCACTTCAGAATGCTACTAATAGGTCTGATTTAACAGCTCATATATTTTATATAAAATTACAAATACTGTTAAAAGATTTGTTTCATAATTATTGGCTTGGTAAAGTTATTGCATACGTATATGTAGTAGAGCCTAGAAGCAAAGATAATCTAGTATTATATAGAGCAGTGATTAGAATCAAAGATAAGATTATATTGATAT